AATTCCCACTGGTAAAAGGCTATTCTGCATGCTAAACATGGGGATAGCTGAAATAACCGACTTGGCCAAGGTGATTCTCCCTGCCATTGATAGACACTGTTTCTTCCAGCCTTGAAGTCTGTTGTTGACCCTGTCCATTAGATCACCATAGTGCACTTTGCTGATGGGACCATGCTTCATTTTATATCTCAGGTATCTGCCCAAATTTCTTGTTTGAGTAAAGCCCCTGATTTCCCCAATAGACTTGGCAACATCCCGAGGAACATTTTTGGAGAAGAAAATACTAGTTTTAAGTAAGCTGACCTTTTGACCAGACATATTGCCAAATTTTTCAAGGCAGCTCATGGTCGTCTTAATTTGATCAGTAATTGCTTCTCCAAATAATAACAAATCATCCGCAAATAAGAGATGGGATATGGTGGGGCCTCATTTTCCTGCTTTCATGGGCTTCCAATCCTTCTTCTCCAGAGAATCCGCTATCAAGTGGGAAAGCTTCTCCATACACAGAACAAAGATATATGGAGAAATTGGGTCTCCTTGTCTGAGGTCTCTGCTGGGAGATATGCTGCCTGCTTTTGTGCCATTCCAGAAGATCTCAAGATGAATTGAGGAGACACAATGCATAATTAATTCAACCATAGCTTTTGGGATTTTCACTTCAGATAAAACTTTATGAACAAAGCTCCAGGACATGCGGTCATATGCTTTTTCCAGGTCAACTTTTATCGTAAAGAAGCCCCTTTTACCTTTCATTCTGTTCATAGAATGGACCATCTCCTGGGAAATAACAATATTATCCTCGATTTGTCTGTGAGGTACAAAGCTAACTTGCTGAGGAGATATGAGTTTACTTAGAATAGGCTTCAACTTTCCCACCATCAACTTGCTAATGCCTTTGTATAGAACTGAGCATAAAGCAATAGGCCTGAATTGATTGATCCTTTCTGGTTTTGCCAGTTTGGGGATAAGGACCAGGAGGGTTTTATTCAGGTCTTTCACTGCAGAGGGCTGATTCCAAGCATGTTTCACACAATCAACAACTTGGTTCTTTACTAAGTCCCAGTTCTTTTGGAAGAAAAAAGCTGGGAAGCCATCTGGACCTATAGCTTTAAGGCCATTCATAGAGAAAAATGCATCCGTAATAAGCTGATCAGAAATTGGTTTCTTCAGGGCTGCTAATTCGTTTTCCTCAAGTGCAGGCCAGTTATTTTTAGTCCTAATCCAAGGTCTATTGATATCTTCCTCTGCAAATAACTTTTCAAAAATATATGAATTAGCTGGATCAGATTATTTTCTTCTTGAACAACATGGCCCTCATCATTCTTTAGTTCACAAATTTTGTTCCTGGCTCTTCTGACAATGGTGGTAGTGTGATAGAAGGTAGTATTTCGGTCCCTATCTGTTATCCATTTGCATCTGGCTTTCTGGAACCAAAGAGCTTCCTCTTGCTCCAAAACACGGTTTAATTTAATCTGAAGGGCTTTGTCAATCTCAGTATAAACATGATCCGGTTGATTGGAGGAGAAATTCTGGTTATCCTGTATCTTCTTGAGCAAAAAGTCTTTTCTCACTTGAATGCAACCAAACAACCCTTATATTCCAAGATTTAAGAGGAGGAACCAGGTTGTTCAGGCTTTGATTGATCTTCATATTAGACTTCCATGCAAACTTGAGGAAGTGAGTAAAAGTTCTATGGTCTTGCCAAGCCATTAGAAACCTGAAAGGTCTTTCTCTCCAATCTCGGTCTTTAGGGAACAGAGAAAAGAGAAGGGGATTATGGTCCGAATTCAAACGGGGCAGAGCACTAACAGAAGCTTCTCCAAAAGCTATTCTCCAATCCGCATTGGCACAAATACGATCAAGCCTTTTAAACACTCTCTCTAGGTGCAGCCACGTAGGGCCTCTCCAAGTAAAATTAGATCCTCTGCAACCCAAATCAAGCATATTACAATCATTCAGCAAGTCAGTGAACTTCTGACATCTGGCAAGATTAACAGGAGCTCTCCCTTTTTTCTCTTTAATTGAGGCAATTTCATTGAAGTCTCCCATCATGACCCAAGGACCCACTGAATTATCACTGATTCTTTTTCGGTCCAGCCAAAGCTCCTCTCGGATTTCCTCCCTAGGATTGACATAGACCACAGTGAGACAGAAACAAACTCCATGCCTTGTGGAGCAGGAAACATGTATGAATTGGCTAGACTTCTCAATGAGAGAGACATTAAGGAATTCTTCTTTCCATAGTAACCATATGCCACCCGAGAACCCCACTGCATCTTCAATGACAAAATTTTTAAAACCAAGTTGCTTGATTTTCTTCTGGGCAATTGTACCACTGTATCATCTATCATTTAACATGACCACAAAAAGTTTCCTACACACACAACATTTTGTGGGGCCCGCAGCAAAAAAAAAAAAACTTTGGCACGCAAAATGAATCTCTATAACATAACACAATCACTTTTCCTACAACATAACTCTTATAAAATCCTTATTATATTTGTGTGTTTTCATATCCTTAGGATAATGTTAGGTTCATTACTTATTATGTTGTGGAAGGAAAGTAAAATTCTTATGTTTGAAATGCTTACCGAAAAGATTAGTGCATTTTATATGTTTGCTTTTATATATAATCAATGACAATTGTTCATTTGAATTTTCAATATTACGTGACATTATTTAGTACATAATTTAGATAACTATCAGGAACAAAATTTATGATAAAATTGTGTAATTACGATAAATATTTTAATAATTTGATATGTTAAATATTTTGACCCATCTAAATTTTTGAGTTGTGACTCCACTAGTGTGAAGATGATGACACTCATCTACTACTTTTATTTCTTATTGCAGTAAGGGAAATTTACTTTTTTGATTCAGTAAAAAAATTTCCTTTTGTCTAATAGATGGCTAGTCTCAAATGGCCAAAAGGGCTTCTAGGAAGTAGCTTTTTTTGGCTTTTCTCGGGTGAATTCTTTCATGGAAATCATCTCTATGTCTATTTATACTTTTTAAACATTAATTTGTCAAGGAATCTTTGATAAAAAAATTTTAAACAAGAATCTTTGATAATTTAACAACGGACTGCCTCGATTAAATTCTGATTGGCCATAAGATCATGTGGATGAACCACTGTTGCCATTGGACTGCTAAATGACAGACATTCAGCCACATTATTCTTGCTTAAACTTGAGAAACCGTAATTGAACCCTTGAATTCATAATTAATAAATTAATTTTTCTTCTGTAAATATAAAAACTCGGATTCCGATTCAGCACTGTACCTCCATCGAAAAATGTAAACTAGTGTTTTTTTTTTTTCGTTTTCTGCCTAAACTTTTAATATATACATTTTTTATTTAAGTAAGTCGACCAACATACTCAGTCATGGGGAGCTGCTCCTCCTTGAGTGGTCCAACATTATATCGTCACTACCTAAGCTGATACCATTGCTTGCCATTACAATATTGGTTTAGGACTAGGAACCAATACAAAAGTTTTGAATATTAAGACTACTACGAAAAACATTAGTTAGCATTATAGCTTATCCAAAACTAGCAGGAAATTATTATTATGAAACTCCTCGATTTATAGTTTGAAATGTAAATAATTTTTTGAAGAGCAATTTTATTATTCTTGTCAGAGATCTTTCTGTTTACCTCCTTCATTGGAGGGCATGAGATACCAATTATACTAATAAGCATACGTCCAAGAGTCACACAAATGGGACTTTCAAATTTTAGGATTTAAGATTTAGCAATAGAAGAGTGTTTTTTTTTTTTTTTTTTAATGTTTAAGATGAAAGAAAACTCTCTTTTTCTAAGACAAAAAATCACTGACGTCTTGAGGATGATTTACATTAGAATTATAAATTGCCTATCAAACAAAAGTTCATGATTCAAACTTATATTATGCAAAAATAAATTCTCTAATGTAAGCTCCAAAAATTTTGAGAGAACCCCATCAATAAGATAAGACCTACTAGTCTTTGTGCGTGAAAAGCTGTAATGAAAAAAATCCATTTCAATTGTCATTAGAATAAGTGCCAAATGAAAAGTTAAGTTTTAACTAATTAAACAGTGTAAGGGAGATCTTGTCTACCAAAAAAAAAAAGTGTAAGGGAGATTATCTAAGAATTTAAAACAAAAAACAACAAACTATCTTAAAATAATAATAATAAAAAAAAACAATGCCACTTCAACTATACTTATTGGTTGGCAAAATTTTGGATCTAACATGTATCAAAGCTAACATCCAAAGCCATTAACGAAATATATAATTGGCCATTTCATGAAATTTAATTTATTCGTAGTGGACTTGTGGTTAAAAAATGGAAAAAATATATATCATTTTAAAATATGTAAAATTATGTTATTTTAAGTGAGATAAAGAGATAGATAAAGGAGGAAAGAGAATGGACAAAAGAATATAAAGGTACGAGTCCCACCTCTTTGTGAGAGTAAAATGATATAAGTTGTGTCATTTAATAGTTAAAAGAATAAACATTTTTTTCTTAATAAATATAAAGAAAATTATACTTACAACTCTTTTTCTAAGAACCTCTTGCAATCATATCTTAACACCGTTGATTTCCGTCAATCAACAATTATCATTTATTATGAATTAATAATTAATAAATTTAATTTGCGAAAATCATAGCGAAAAGAGTGTATTTATATAATAAACCTTCAAATTTCGTGAAAATTTAGTACCGAATGTAGGCTTTAGAAATGTAAAAAAAACTCAACCCTTAATTCGCAAAACCTAAAAATATCAATTATATTAATCTTTAATCACAATCCATAGTAATCTTTAAAAGTAACTGGTATATTTTCCGTTCTCCAATACTTACCCATTCGTCAGCATATTATTTGAGTACGAATTTAGGAGTTTGCTGAGTGTTCGTGTTAATGTTCATGTTCTGCAAAGTAAATAAGGATTAGAAAATAGGAGCCCAAAAAAAAAAAAGCCTCTGCTTTCTATGTAAAATGAGAGGTAGAGGATCCTGATAGCACTAACGGCATGTAATTACAGACATGTCAACGGAGTTTGAAATTTACATCGAGTGCAAAAAAATGAAACCCCAAAAGTAAAAAAAAACAACCCTAAATTGCTGATTTTGTCGAGTAGCTTCACGTGACCGAGAGACAACAACCCTAGCAAGCCAACAATTGAACAGAAACGAGAATGATTAGGGGCATAAACGTAACCCAAAACTTGGACGGCCACGATGAAGCATGGCCACTGTCGAACTGAAGTGAATCAACGGCCAGCGGCATGTTCTCCTGGTCAGGGCTACACTTTGATTCATGTGGATGCGCACTGTACATCATTGCACGCAACACCGCCGAAACGGTGGGTATGTATGCCGTTTTGTTCTTCGCTAACAGCCACGTCAAACCCATCAGTTGACAATCCCTGTTGAACATTTTCTTTACCCTCTCACTCCCTCCATTCCCCTTCGTCTCGTTCTTGTACCCCTTCACCTGTAATAATAATAATAAAAAAATAATATTAATTATAATAATAATAATAGTAGTAGTAAAAATAATGTGAGGGTGATTTTAGGTTGAACCTTTTGTAGGGCACCAAGGCACTTGGTGCAACCTGCGTAAGAGGAGTTACGACAATTGTTTTCCAAGTTGCGAACGGCAACAGTTGGGGTTGCGTTTTTGAGAGAATCAGAAACGTTAAACGCTGCGGAGCAAGACAATGAGCTTATCTGGTGAAGTCTGATTCCGCAGAAACACAGAATGGCGTCGCACGTGGCGTTTGGTTGAGGGATTCTAATGTTGCGACTCAGGAGCGAGTCTTGGAGCGAGTTCACGCACTTTTGCGAGTCGTCCGGCATCATCGGGAGGTCTCCTCCGGCGCCGCCGCTTGACGGCGCCGGAGATGGTGCGCCGGACAGTTCAAGTGCTGTGTGGGCGTGTGCGGCGAAGAGCCACGCTGCTAGGACCGGGCAGCACCGGCTGCGGTCGAGATTCTTCCCGCATGCGGCCTTCACCCCACCGAATAGCTCGTCGGAGAGGTCGAGCCGGCAGGTTTGGGCTTCGGTCTGAACCGGGAATGCGGGGACCGTGTTGGAAGATGGGTACTCGCCCGGTTCAAGAGGCTGGTTGTTGTTGGGGTTGTTCACCGGTTGGGATAATAAACCGGCATGAGAAAAGGGTAATGGTAGAAGTACAGAAGTGAACAAAGGAAGGCACGCCAAAATGGACGTGAATGATTGCATCTTCTTTTGAAAAAGATGAGAGGGTTTTTTTTTTTTTTTTTGAAAAAATGAGGTAATTTGGGTGGTGGAGAAAGAGATGGGGATGGGTTGAAAAAAGAAAGTGTTTTTTTTTTTGGTTTATGCAAGAAAGTGATTTAAGTTTTCTTGGAAATTATAGCTAGAAAGAGAGGTGGAGATTCTGAGAGATATTCAAAAGCAGCAGAAGAAGAAGGAAGTTGTTTTAGAAGTGATTGGAAGCATTGCCAAATCATTTCAACAACGCATGCTAAAGCAATGGAAAAGATGGCAAAGTGCTCATGGCTTGGCTTGGGAAAAAGGTTTGTTTTTCTTGGGCTAGCTTTACTCTCTGCCTGTGGTGTCTCTCTCACTGATTTGTACTCTTTGGAGAGAGAACAATGATATGGGTTTAAGCACAATTTATAATAATTACACTTAAAAGTTAAATTAATATTTTATAATGGGTGTTTAATATATTTTAATGTTTGTTTTAGATATAAATATTCATGTTCACAATCCACATGAAAAAGGAGGTTACGGTCAGAGATCACTCTGGATTTATGCGTTATGCTGACGCTCCAAGTTCACGAAACAAGGTGATCTCTCGTTGATTTAAGATTCTCTTTTTAAAAGATTTTAATAAAATAATATCTTAAACAGTTTTTCTAATAAAAATATATATATTAAACAGTATTTTTCATGTTTCTGAATTTTATACGTTGCTAAAAACTAAAGAGCAACAGGATCTTGATTAGAAATGGAGTGATACGAAAAGAAAAGGCTGTCCGAGAATTTGGCAGCTTGTGCTGTAATTTTCATTTTATCATTTTTCTTTTCTCCTTCTCCTATTATCTTCCGTTATCTTTTGTTTTTCCTATATAGAAAGGGGAAATTGCTTTTGGCGGGCCTTCAGTGTTGGACCCTCGTTTTTCCCATTCTCCATCATTTTCAAAGACCAACAATTTAACCAAAAAAGATATTAGCTCAATCGGTAATATGGAAGTTAAATAAGTAAAAAAAAAATCTTAATTTAATTTTCATATGTTTTTTTTGAAAAAAATTTAAATATCTTCGTATATGAACTCTTCTGTACTTCATATTAATTTCAGTTTAAAATATTGAAGTTTATAAAAATATTGGGTGGAGTCAATTCGCCTCAAAAAAATAATTACATTGGATTAACTCTAAAAAAAAAAAAACCAACTATTTGTCAATAAATAATAACTTAAGTATGCAAAACAATAATAATAGTAATTATTATAAGGGAAAAACTATTCTCATACTACGTGAGATATATTTTTTCTGCTATACACCTTTCGATAACTGTGTCATTTTTTTTAAGAGGTAGATCCTCTCATGTGCTAATTAACATGACCATGTCATGTGGGACAATCATAACTATACATGGGTGAGTTAATGGTGATAAGGGAGGAGAGAAAAAAATATAAGGATAGAAAGTTACACAATCATCACCGTTGATTTAATTATTAATGATTAAGATCTTTTCACATGACATGATCATGTTAAATTACACATGAGAGAATCTATTTCCCTTTTTTATGTGGTAGAGCCCATAAATTTGTCTCTATCATATAAAATAATTTATCCCCTTAAGATGAGATTAATAAAATGCTTATTATAATCACTTGCCATGTATGTCGACAATCCAAATACAAAGGGATAATCTTAACGTGTATCGGAGAGTGTCAGAAGTGGAATTGCCCTAATCAGCTCAGCAAGCAAACCGTATATGCCTGACTTCTTGTGCACTTCAATTAGCTTTGCTTTTTACATGTTTCTAGTGGTAATCGAGTCATGCGTGACAGCCACCTAACCCCATTTTCTTTTTGTGCATTGTTTTCCTGAAGATAACATTTATTTAAATTACGCAGTTGCTACGGGCAGCTAATATGGACAAACATAAATCTTCCACTTCACATGGGAATGCCTAGCCCCATTAGTATTTTCATTTTCTTTATAACGTTACTGTTATACTAATCAGCATTGTATTGGGGTCGATTTTTAACCGTTGAATCAAATTTTAATTACATTACACATGTACAGACAGGACCAGCTAAGGATATTATCTGTTTATTCTATGCATATTCTTGTTACACTAGAAGACAAAGTTACCCACAGTGTTAAGTAGAAGTAGGTTCCACCACAGAGGAATGGAGAGTAGAAACTATATTAGAAATGAGTAGTCTAGTCCAGTTGAGTCCCAACTCATATCAGATTCAAACAAAAGAGAGAGAGAGAGAGAGGTACATTATTAGTTTAGAGGACAAACACAAAGTGTCAACCAAAAGAAAATTGTTCCTGTAAAAAGTAGCACCTTTGGAAAAAAAGCTTGCAACTCTTTTTCCTGCCCCCAATAATCTGGTCCCTTTGCGTCTCGGGCAGGGTCCCCTAATTCAAATCATGAAGTGGAAAAAGGGGAGGACGATGCTTTTGTTAGGTATTACATATCCTATGCATATTGGTCAATAAAAAGAATACATTATATATCGGATTAGGTTCTAAAAGGAAGATGGTTTAGCTATAGCATCGGTAATTGAGCCCCAAAAGTAGAAGGAAAAAGGTACAATCATGGTGTTGCAAATTACAAATTGAGGTTTCCGGGCCCAGATAAACCTTCCAGTTCATAAAAATGTTGGGTTTTGTATGAGCCCAATTGTGCAGCAAAGCCTATGATGCGTGATGTATCATGCATGAATATGATTTTCTTTTGGCTTACACTCGTGCACGTGCAAAAACCCTCCTCCAATTGTGTCTTGTTCATACCTCAATGAAGTTCGATGGTATAGTAACTAGCATGAGAAAAAGCATGTCAGTTCAATTGTAAGGCTTTATAGCCCACGACCACAACACCAAAAAAAAAAATCTCTGAACTCGATCCAATTAAACTTTGGGAAAAAGAAATATGTTTTTAAAGTATACAAGCTCATGTCTTTTAGTAACTTATACAAAGTTTTACCGATAAGGTTTTGTATAAATTTAAAAAGTTGTTTCTTTATCTCTTTTCTCAGTCTCATCACTAATAAGTAAAGTGAAAAAAAAAATAACTTTTCATATTTACACAAAATCTTATCGATAAGAATTTGGATAAGTTAAGCTTGTATCCTTTTAAAGAACATCCACTCAACAGAAATTTCTACAATACTAATACTACAGATGCACTCAATTTTTTATACATCCCTCTAATCAAAATCAAACAACAAATATCAATGCTGACATGTAATAGGAAAAAGTGAGATTTCAAATACATATATTAAATTTTAAATGGAAGTAATATATACTACTATGTACCAAAGATGAGATCCCACTAAACCCTTAAACTTTATATGCATGTGGCTGTGGAGAAAACTTGCCTCTTTTGATCGTATAACTGATTTAATGAAGAGCTTTCCTGGTTTATTGAAATCATTAGCTACAAAGAGGATCGGAGTCGTACGTTGTGGGGGAACACTTTTTAGTTTGTGCGAATCCACCTGTACACCACTTCGAAGTTGTTTTTTTATTTTGTGAAAGAAGTCTTTTAACTTTAAACAAAGTAATAATGACGTTATGATTTCATGTAATTCAAAGGCTCAAATTAAAGAAATTTAATTTCTCTCGTTGTCTTTCTCTTTTTGCTTTTTCTGATTCCAGATAAGAAATTAAACTTTTGTTCCTTTAAAATCAAGGTGGTCAAAAAGCAGAAAGGAATAACACAAAAGAAAACCACATAGTAATACATGAAGAACACAAACTTAATTCTAACAAAAACTAGAGAAGATTGAAGATTAAAATATATACATGCACCAGATTATACTCCATTTTAGTCACTAATCTCCTTTCATACGATGGTTGTAATTTATTAAATTATACTCATTAACTCTTAGTCGTAGGGCTGTGCGTGTGTCAGGTTGGATCAGGTTTTTGTCCGACTCGACCCAACTTGGTTTTTATAGATCAGGTATTTTGACCCGACCCGCTTTAATTTGATCCAAGTCAGGTCTGACTTGGTTTGGATTATGTTGAACTAGTTCAGAACTGGATCAGATCGGATCTGACCTGACTTGGTTTCTGAAGTGGGTTTGACTTGGTTTCTGAAATGGGTCAAATCTGACTTGACCCGTTTTTGACTTGGTTTCTTCACAAAATTTCGTCAAAATTTCTACATTGCAAATGACGATAATTTAATCACAAAATTATTTTTTCGTCGGAATACTTTTTGTCGAAAAGCAACGAAATTTTTTCTCTAATGAAAATTTTTACAAAAAAAAATTTTCTATCGAAATTTAGTTTCCGTCAAAAGTTTTGACGAAAATGATTTCTTCCATCAAATGTTTTAAACGAAAAAAAAATTCTATCAAAAATTTTGATGGAATGTTCTTCGTTCAAAATTTCGATGGGAATGTGTTTTGACGAAAATTTCAACGGAAATTGTTTCGAGAAAAATGTTTCATTTGAAACTTTCGACGAAATTTAGATTCTCTAAAGAATTTTGACAGAATATTTTTTCCGTCAAAATTTTTTATCGAATTTTTTTTTTTTTACAGAAATGTGTTCCGTAGAAATTTTTGATGGAAATATTTTTTATCAAAAAACTTGACGAAAATATTTAGTTGAAAATTTTCGATTGAAATGTGTTTCGCTAAAAATTTCGACGAATTTTTTTTGTCAAAAAGTTTAACGAAAATTTTTCCGTCGAAAACTTTCGCCGAAATTTGAAATCTGTAAAGAATTTTGATGAAATTTTTTTCTGTCAAAACTTTTTGATGGAAATGTGTTTCGTCCAAATTTTCGATGGAAATTGTTTTGAGGGAAATGTTTCATTCGAAACTTTCGACGGAATTTAAATTCTCTAAAGAATTTTGATAGAATATTTTTTAGTCAAAATTTTTATCGAAATATTTTTTGCCAAAATTTTTTACGAAATTATTTTACAGAAATGTGTTCCGTTGAAAATTTTGATGGAAATATTTTTTATCAAAAAACTTGACAAAATATTTAGTCGAAAATTTTCGATAGAAATGTGTTTCGCTAAAAATTTTGACGAATTTTTTTTGTCAAAAAGTTTAATGAAAATGTTTCCGTTGAAAACTTTCGCCGAAATTCGAAATCTGTAAAGAATTTTGATGAAATTTTTCTCCGTCAAATTTTTTTGATGGAAATATGTTTCGTCGAAATTTCTGATGAATATATTTTTTTGTGAAATATTTTGACGAAATTTAGATTCTGTAAAAAAATTTAACAAAAAAAATAATCCGTCAATTTTTTTACAAAAATGTTTTTAGTCACAAATTTTGATGAAAATAATTTTCGAGAAAAACTTTGCGAACATTTTTTATGGAAATATTTTTCGTAAAATTTTTTGACGTAATTGTTTTACGTTAAAACATTTTTATGCACCAGATTTTGGAAGGAAGTGCAATTATTTTACACATCCCGTGATGAATTTGTCATATTCTTCCATTTCAATCATTATTCTATCAATTTCATGATGTATTTGAGTTATGGAAAAAGTATGTGCATCCTCTGTAGTGATATGTCATACCAGCTCCAAAGGATCGATCTGAAAAAAATTATAAACATCATTAATATATCAAAAAAATATTAATTCACAAATATTAATAAATTAATTAAAACACAATTTAATAAAATAAATTATTATCTTAATTCCTTCACTTATATATTAATTATTTACTCTACAAAATTAATTGTTCATATTAATTAATTATTACATGACCAATTAACAATATACATTTCTAATTAATTATTAGATTACTAATTGATTACACTTTTTTTTTTTGTGAAAGAAAGGGCTTAACAGCCCAAAAAACAACTAAACAATGTAAACATTCCTACAGTTAGAAACAACACAAATATCAGCAAAAAATAAACAACTAAGCCCAAGATGAACATGACTAAACTCCTTATACAATGAGTTCTGGTTGAAACAAATCAAATGGTTGGCAAGCCAATCAGCACACTGATTTCCTTCACGGTGGATGTGTTTAAGTTGGAGATCCCAATCTTTAATCAACCAAGTCCGAATGCGAGTAACAATATGAGACTCTCGGACATCATTACCTTTATTGGTAAGCAACGTGATCACCGAAGTGGAGTCACTTTCAATTATAAGTTTTCTAAACCCTTTGTTCCAAGCAAATTCCAAGCCTTCCAGAATACCCCATAACTCTGTTGTAAAAGCTGATGCAATGCCCACATGATAAGCAAACCCCCCCAGCCATTGACCATATGATCCTCTACATAAACCCCCACATGCAGCTACTCCCGGAGATCCTTTGGCTGCACCATATGTATTTAATTTTATCCAGCCATGATCTGGTGGATGCCAAGCAATTTGTAACTGAACTAGCATGCCAGTTTTCTTTTTACTTCCGTTGACACCGAAAGCATGTTCAATATCCATAGCCATGCGATGCACCTTATTAACAATGAAATCTGCATTAATACCTTCTTTTCCATGATAAACGGCATTTCTTACGTTCCGCAACTCCCAACAAGTTAGAAGAAAAATTGTACCCCAATTCAAGCTAATGGGTCCCTTCATACCGTTACATATGTTAGATAACATCTAGTCTACCCATTCTTTATCAAAGAAAGAAGCTAGTCTCCTCGGTGATAGCAGCTTATACCAAACTGCTTTTGTCACTTCACAGTCTCTTAACACATGAAATCCGTCTCATAAGCACTAAGACATCTAGAACAAATTGGATTCGCTTCTGACCACTTAGCAGCCCATGCACTTGTTGGTAATCTACAGTGAAGACATTTCCACATAAAAATCTTCACTCTTTCTGGACCCTTCCAACGCCAAAGAGCATTCCACACTTGATCTGGTATACTGTGATTTGCAAATGGAATTCTTTTCTGCATAAGAACCTGGTAGGCGTCCTTAACTGTTATGGAACCATGACCTCCAATACTCCATCTTTCTACATCTGGTCCATCATTTTCAGCAGGAGGAAGAAATCCGTTAACAATCTCTAAGATGTCATGCGGCAGGCATGCTTGAAGAATACTTAAATCCCAACAGCCATTCATATCAAGAACTTCATTAGCTTTTTTGTTTAAATCATTTCCGCTAAGCTCTTTCATACAGACATTTACTAGAGGACCTACAGTGGGGATCCAAGAATCTGTCCAGAATTTGACCGAAGCTCCATCACAATCTCCCACACTACAAAGTCTTTTAACTCCAACCACACTTTGCAAATGCTCCTCCAAAGAAGAGAATCCCCAGATTTACTGTAAAAAAGGTCCATCTGATTTCTTCTCCCATTATACTTTGCTTTTAAAACCCTCATCCAAAGTGCATCATTATCTATTTTAATTTTCCAGACAAGGTTACCCAGAAACGCTTCATTCATAACATCAAGACATTTTATACCAAGGCCACCACTTTGCTTTGATTGGATTAAAGTGTTCCACCCGATCATATTGTTTCCTCTTTTTTGATCAGAACCATTCCAAATAAATTGACGTTGTATTTTGTCCACCTCCTGACAAATGGATTTAGGCAACTTTGTACTTTGCATTTGGAAAAAAGGTACGGTTGAAACTGAAGCTTTGCTCAACGTAACCCTATCTGCCATAGATAAACATTGTGCTTGCCAACCTTGCATTTTTAACTTCACCTTATCAACAATATCATTGAAAAGGGCTTTGGAGACCCTTCCATGCTGCATCATCGCTCCAAGGTAGCGTCCCAAATTTCTGGTACGCTTAAACCCACTCAGACCCGCAATCTTGTCTGCTATATTCTCATCAACATTCTTAGAGAAGTATATGCTGGTTTTCGCCAAACTCACACGAAGACTAGAAATAGACGCAAACTCATTCAATAGATGGACAATCAAATACATTTGCTCTTCACTGGCCTCCGCAAATAACATCAAATCATCAGCAAAAAATAAGTAGGATATTTCAGGACCTCATTTGCCCACCCTTATTGGTTTCCAATCCCTTTTACCAACAGCATTAGCAATCATATGGGAAAGCTTTTCAATTCCTAAGACAAATAAGAAGGGAGAGATGGGGTCACCTTGCCGCACACCTCTAGAAGGTTGAAACTCAGGTGATATTTCTCCATTCCAAAGCAAATTGATATTAGACGTTGAAACAGCAGCCATCACAATATTTAAAAAATTACCTGACAGTTTGATCTCTGACAGAACCTCTCTAAGGAATCCCCAGCTGATTCGATCATAAGCCTTTTCTAAATCCACTTTAATAGCCATGAAGCCCTTCCTACTTTTCATACGATGCATAGTGTGGACAAGCTCTTGCGCAACAATGATATTATCATGTATGTGTCGTTTCAGAATGAAACTGACCTGGCAAGGTGAAATGATCCTCTCCATTATCGGTTTCATCCTATTAACAACAATTTTGCTGAGCACTTTGTAAAGAACTGAGCAAAGAGAGATATGACGCATATGATTCATTTGAGTTGGTGTTGGGACTTTGGGAATAAGAACTAAGAGAGTTGAATTAATTCTCTTAATATCCACTGGGTTCTGCCACAAATAACAAATCTCTTGACAAACCTGATCCTTGATTCTTTCCCAATTATGCTGGAAAAAAATTGCTTGAAACCCATCAGCTCCTGGTGCTTTGAAAGATCCCATATCAAACACAGCATGACGAATTTCAACCCTGGAAGGTGGCTTCTGAAGCTCCTGCAGATTATCTTGTGATATTACAGGCCACCAATCCTCAATTGCAATCCATTTCCTATTTGAATCCTCCTCTTCAAAGAGTTTCAGAAAAAAATTACGAGCCATATCTTGCAGAGCTCTCGGATCTAAAACTCACATTTGCATCTCATTCTTCAACCTCAGAATTTTATTGGTGCTCCTTCGGATGATTTTCTTTAAGTGATAAAACTTAGTGTTTCTATCACCATCAACAATCCATTTCTCCCTTGACTTCTGGAACCACAATAACTCTTCTTGCTCTAAGACACTGGTTAATTCTTCTTGTAACTTATTTTCTTTCATAGCCAGATAATGGGACTCATTTACCATTCTTTGATGTTGGACCCGATCAATAGAGTTAAGGAGACCCTTCTTTCGTTGCCAAATATTCACATAAACATTGATGTTCCACTGTTTCAATGGAGGAACCAATCTATTGAGCATACTGCTACACGTATCATTATACTTCCAATGCTCATCAAGGAACTGATTGAACATTGGGTGCTGCTGCCAGGCTGCTACAAATCTAAAAGGTCTTGCCCCTAAAGAATTATGATTATCATGAAGCTCTAATAGAAGGGGATTATGATCAGATTGGATCCTAGGCAATACCCGAATATTTGCATCAGTGAATTTCAATCTCCACGCTTCATTGGCACACACCCGATCAAGTCTCTTGAAAATACGGTCCAAGTGTCCCCACTTAGGACCTTGCCAAGTAAAGAAAGCACCAGCTCCACCCAAATCTATAACTTTACAATCATCTAGAACTTCCGCAAACTTCTGACATCTTGTGATATCTACAGTAGCCCCCCCTTATTTTTCGATGAATGGGCTATCTTGTTAAAATCTCCACCCATAATCCAAAGATCCACTACCTGAGAACTCAATCTTCTAAGGTCTTGCCATAAAAGTTTCCTCTTCTCTTCATGGGGACTAGCATAAATAGCTGTAAGAAAGAAGAACAATTCCCCGTTTTTAATAATTTTCACGTGAACAAACTGGTTTGACTGTTCAATAGTCTCAATTTTGAAGAACTGAGAGCACCAAAATAACCAAATACCACCTGAAAACCCCTGGGCCTCTTCAACAACTACTTTATCATAACCTAGGCTTTTTGCTAATTTTACAGCTCGATCACCAGAAGCCCTAGGTTCGAAAATTGCAACGAGTTTAATACTATGTTTATGCACAAGAGCTTTAAGGGTACGAGCCAGTCTCCCGCTAGCTGCACCTCTACAATTCCAGAGAAGGACTGACATTAAGACAACTGTTTTGAGACATTGTTCACTGGAACCTCCAATCGTTCCATCAACTCGTCTGTTTTCAAGTTAGCATGTTCAACTGCTACCATGTCAATATCTCCCATATTTTGTAACTGTTCTTGATCAGAAAGTGGATCTGGAGGTCTTGGAGGATGAGCCAAGTGCAAATTTACTGCAATATCATTACTCTTATCAACTGCAATATGACTATCTTCAGACGTCCCCATCCTACTCGTCTCAGGTTTCCCAGAATTCTTCAATAATAGCAAGGAGGATGCATCCGTCGTTTGCTTGCCTACGCTGATGTGTCACAATTTTCTCCCTGATAACCGCAGCTTTTAATTGTTCATTATTGATTGGGTCCTCAGCCATATACAGCTGTCCGTCATCAATTTTTTTCCATGCAAGTTTATACTGAGTTTCCGTTTCAATTAAAACTGTCTTCCCCTTATTATGATTGCTATTATTCTCCTGATTGCTTGCCTGATTTTCATGCCCTGATTATGCGATTCTCCCCCATGATTATTCGATTCTCCTCCTTGATTTCCGCTAAGCATTGATGTTGTACCACACGAGTTAATCACGTCATTAATCACGTCGTTATTCACCATAATTGCACCTTCCGTAACTCCCTCATTTGATTGCGCTAGGGCAGCAAACCTGGAATTATTCTGGTAACTTCCATTTTTCTTCCCTGCTGAAACGCCGTCAGCCTTTCTGTTCCTATCGTCCACCACCGATTTTCTACCTCTCCTGTTTCTATTGACAATCATCCATGGTCCATAAGATATGGAGCGATCTGGTTACCTCCCATAGCCTTTACCATCTACAGTTTGTTGAGCTTCTTGAACGTTTTTTGTATTTGATTCTAAGCCTCTCTTGGCTCTCAAAATAGGGCAAGCTTCCATGCGTTGACCATAGGTACCACACTCAAAGCACACCACATGTAAACCTTCATACTCCACCTTTTTACTTTGACCTTCTAGTTTGTATTCACCATGAATTAGCGGTTGGCTTAGGTCAAGCTCCACACACAGCCGTGCGAACCGTGCTCTTTCTATGCTTGTTGTAGTGCCATCAATCTTGATAAACTGACCCAACCAGTTGCCAATTGCTTTGAACACATTTGACGCAAAATATTCTACTGGGATATCAGGCAGCCTCACCCTGCAGCAATTCTGTCAATACTGGCCATATGAGGTTGAAAGTTCGGTGACCAAGAACGAACCGCCAAATAATGATTCAAAATGCTCCACGGCCCCTCAGACCAAGCAAATTCCAAATCCTCATTCGTCTCAAACTTGACCAGAAAATAGTCATTCTCCAAATCCGTTACATGGATTCTTCCTTCCCTAGCCCACATCCCTTCCGGCCGCTTTTTCATAAAATTCAAGGAGACCTTTTTCCCTAACAACTTTACAATAAGAGTATTCCACCAAGGTTTCCTTATTTTTTCTTTCAGCTCTTCCGATAATTTGAAATTGGTTCGCCCATCCGGATCAAGTTCATAAATAATTTCTGAATCATCTTCATCACCGTTTTGGTCCTCCTTCATATTCATTTCTGATTCAAACTCCCCATTGTGCCTTAGCAATGCTTCCCTGAAAGAAGGCCTCTTTTCCATCCAATCTTCCTCTCTACGTACCCTTGCCTCATCAGGATTGAAATCACCCTCACCACTCTTGTATTTCTTGGTACTCCTCCTCAACTGATCATCTTCTTCTGATGAGCGCTCAAGTTCACCCCTCTCGTTCTCTCCACGCTTATTCTCCATGATTACACTTAATACATAACCTACAAAGATTAAATGACTCACTAATTAAATATTATAATACTTAATTTATTAATTAGTTATTTATTTTTGCTCCTAACTATTAATTGTTTTACTAATTAGTTATTATTTTAATAATTGGTATTTACTCCATAACATAGTTAATTAAATTAATATGTTACATAACCTACAATTAATATACTACAAAAACAATTAAATATGGAAGAAATAGTTAATATAAATAAAATTGATTATTTTTTCGCACTCTTTATAACTGAAAGAACAAGTAAAAAAACTACTATCAGCACTTAATTTTGACTGATTTTATCCCCTATTTTATTAAAAAAAAAGAAAAAAATTCTGTTAACCCAATTTCATGTTGTAAATTATTATTATTATTTTTAAAAATTAAGACCCTTTTGTTTGTTTGCTCGCTTCGTATCTTTGTCCTATTCTAAAATTGAATAGGTTTTCAAATTGAAGTATATACAAAAAAAAAAAAAAAATTGGATATAAACGAGATTTAAAAACAACACTAGCTGGAAATAACAAGGCTGGCCAATAAGTGCCCCTATAGTCATTGAAGACAAAATCAGCACAACCATTCAGAATATCTCTAAGAAAAAAGTGTTTGTTCTTTTAATTGATACAACTTATGTCATTTCACCCTCACAAAGAGATGGGATCCACGCCTTTATATTTTTTTTCACTCTCTCTCCTCCTTTATCTACCTCTTTCTCTCACTTAAAAAAAATGACATAACTTTACATCCTTTAAAATGACACACACTTTTCCCTTTCTCTAAATAACTGAATTTTCTTGTCTATGAAAGACCTTGGCCAACCAACCAGTCAGCTATCCTATTACCGTCCCTAGAAGTGTGGGAAATTTTATCTCCCAGTCCCTATTCAGCAAGTCCGGGATCGTAAATAAGAGGTTGCTGAGAAGGTTATGATATAAGAGGTTGCACAAGTTAACAGATGAGAAGTTTGCCCAAACTTTAGGGTGGAGTAACTTCTGCCAAATGTTTTTGGCCCAACAACAGTCTCTGATAATGTGTATGTTGTCCTCTGTGTGGAGGTGACATCTAGGACAGAGATCATTGTCAGTCATGTATTTTTTCTTTCTTCGAAGGTTGGTTAGCCAATTTTCCCTCAGGAGCATCCATAAAAAGTTTTAATCCTTTGTGGTCCATCCCATTTCCACACCATGTTCCAATTTAAAGAAGGAGTACTGATATGAGAGCTTGAATTAAGATTATAGGTTGAGCTTAAAGATAGCCAAGACTGGTCTGTCTCTACCATTCCAAGGGGAATGTGGGGGAATTCCTGCTATGGCTTGTGCAACCTCAAGGGTAATAAGGTGCTCTAACTTTTGCCAATGCCATAGCTCTTCATTATTAATCACCTGTCTTAACTTTCAATCTGAAATTTCTAGTGTGATGGCTTCGGAAGCATAGTTTAGGAGCGGGTAGAAGCCAGGAATCCAGTTATCAATCGATCAAAATTCTAGTGTTTTCCTCTCCCTGAGGCCAAACTTTAGATAATCCTTTCCAAAGATTAGAGGAGTTATGGATGGATTATAGTTTGGGGATGGTATTTCCCTCCACTTTATACTTGCTTCTAAGAACTCTAGCCCATAGAGCATCTGGTTTAGTAATCAAGTCCTGGCCAATCTTCATTAAATAGGCTTGATTCAACCGTTTCATATTCTAAAATCCAAACCCACCTTCTGTCTTAGATTTGCGCATCAAGTTCCAAGTAAGAACATGAACTTTCCTAAATGTGGAACTAGATCCCAGAACAAAACCCCTGATCTTCTTTTCCAAATCCTCACAAGTCTCACATGGGAGAGATGAAATTTGCATGGTATAGGTAGGGAGGGGAGCTACAATAGATTTCGCTAAAGTAACCCGTCCAGCCACAGCTAAGGGTGCTTGGTTCCAAGCATTGAGCCTTTTGTTAGCTTTAACAATGATGATCTTGAAGGTTCTCCTACCAACTCTCTTATGATGGATAGGTATTCCCAGATATTTTCCTAGGTCTGAGGTGAAAGAAAACCTCATCTTTGGGTAATTTATCTAACTCTTATGTGATTAACATTTTTTTGAGAAAAAGACTCTTGTTGGCTGATGTTCACTTTCTGGCCTGAAGCAGCACAAAAATAATCTGGAATCTGATTAACAACTGAAGCTTGATCAAGGGAAGCTTCACGACATAAGAGGAGATTATCTGCAAAGAAGAGGTGAGAGATAGGTGGGCCTTTTTATTGAATGAGAAAGGTTTCCAAACTTTCTGGCTTGTTGCTTTAGTTATGAGATGGGCTAGCTTTTCCATGCAAAGCACAAAAAGATAAGGTGAGAGAGGGTCACTTTGCCTTAGGCCTCTTGAAGATTCAATTTTGCCACCATTCCAAAGGATGATCATTGTGCTAGATGAGACATAATGCATTATAAGATTAATGATCTTGCTAGGAAGATTGAGGTCTAGAAGAGTATCTTGGAGAAAATCCTACCCGATTTCGTCATAGGCTTTTTCTAGGTCCACTTTAATCACCATCCAACCTTTCTTTAATTTCTTGCTCCTCATAGAGAGTATCATCTCTTGAGCTATTATGATGTTGTCTGCACTAAGCCTCCTTTTAACAAAGCTGCACTGGTTTGGCAAGACCAAAGAATCCATGTGACCTTTCAGCCTGTTGGATATAATCTTAGTGATCAATTTATCGATCATATTACAAAGGCTGATTGGTCTAAACTATGAGATGTGTTCAGGATTCTCCACCTTGGAGATAAAACAAAGGGGAGTTTGGTTGAATTTTGAGACCATGGATGGATCAGAGAAGATATCAAAGATCAAAGGCATGACTGATTCTTGATGGTTTTCCATTGAGTTTGGAAAAGGATGAAATGGAGGCCATCCGGTCCAAGAGTTTTGTGAGGGTGCATGCTAAAAATTGTTCTTCTAATCTCCTCTTCCGTTGGAAGTTTGTCTAAGAAAGCTAAATCTCTATCATTCAGCAAAGGGAAAGCTCCCATAATGCTGAACACATGTTGGGAGCAGTATCCGTTAACAATTCACGGAAAAAGAGGTGGCAAGGCTCTACAGGAAAAATGTATCATCGGTCCAAATGCCATGGTCATCCTTAAGAGATTTGATTTTGTTTCTTCTTCCTCTTCTAATGACAGTAGCCGTGTGATAGAACTTAATATTCTTATCACCAAAAA